CGAAAATTGATAAATTTTCTCTAATTTAGCTTAATTTAAAATCGTGTTGCGTCGGGCTTGAACGACCCTTCCCCCCCCCTCTCTCTCTCTCTCTCTCTCTCCCTCTGTCTCTCTCTTAAGATTTATATTGTATTTGCGCGTAAAATGGCTATCAGATCAGTCGGCTGACCAACATCAACTTTTGAACATTCCATATCGGATAGTAATCTCGACGGCGGTAACAATTTTGCATCAGCGGGCATGCTTTTTTTTATTGTTTAGGCCGTCCCGAGGAGAATATCCCTGAAGTACGTGCAAGAGAGCGAAATTTATGTCCGGCGACTTATTTGGCGACATTGTTTACGGGCCAGGAAGCAGTTTGTCCCGCGTTCGCTGCTCCCTTTTTGCGATATAATTGCACGTTCCGCGCGTCCGTGCGCACAGTTGCGTCGGGGCGGTCCTTTTTTGCGGCTGTTCCCCCCGTCCCGTCGTAAGAAACTCGCGCAATCGTATTCTACCACGTGGACCCCAATCCGGACCCCGCGCGCACTTTTTTTTCCCCCCGCACTTTATCACACCGCCCTCCTTTTTGCTGTGCCCTCCCCTCGCCATAAGATCGAATTCCCGCTTTTATGCTAGTCGATCGTGTCTCCATTTTTACATTCTCCTCCCCCCCCCCGTCATCCCCATCCGCGGAATTGCGATCGGAGAAAGTGTAAACACTTTTCGATACTTAATCGATCGTTTCTTCTCTCCCTCTGTCTTCCCAATCGCGTTCCGCTCTCGAGTTGGAGTTCGGCGGAAAGAGCAAAGCCTTCTCTCGTCGCGATTCGATCGCCCGTATAAATAACGCTCGGCCGGGGCACCGCAATCGATATGATTATTTTTCGGGATCGCGCGAGCCGTACACCTTCGATTACACCGACGGAATCGAGGTCCAAATGACGCGCCGCGGATACCGCCGCGTCCGTTCGCGATATAAACGAGGATCGAGTAACGAGGGCAAGACGCTCTTCTTAAGCACCTCCGGAACCTATCATCTTTTCGTGCCGCGTCAAAAGAGAAAGAGAACCGATCGTGCCACCCGATAATTGATACATACTTAACAAGCGAGGGTCGGCGCGAGAAGCGTAATTAAGAACGTGCCGGCGAATTTATGGCGGCTCTTTGGGACGTGTTATTACGTACAAAATGTCTTGGCCGCGCGATAGTACGTAATCTCGCCGACGTGCGCGACGTTGATAGCGTCTTATCGGCGTAATGATCGATAGAACTTTTTCTACGAGTAGCTTTCGTGAAAGGCTGTAGAGAACACGTCGACAGGAGAAAAGAAGATTTCGTTGCAAAGTTAGTTAATTTAAGTCACTTGTCAAAAGTTTACAAATGGCGGCATATGGAGAGAGGAGTCTCCATGGTCTTCCATATCAGGAATAAAAAGCTATTATCGCGGACGAAACGCGTGTAAAAGGGAGAAGTTGGACGTCAACCGTCGAGGATCCACTTGTTGTACTCGAGTACACGAGACGTCTTCCGCGGCCTTTTACGGTTTAAAACACCGAGAGATAAATTGAGGAAGGTTCGACTCACTGATACGACCGGCGGGATCGACGCGCCGCGCTGGAGCCTCCAGGGACGGCAGGTAATCGATGTGGAAAGCCGAATGTCCCGATCGCGGGACGGCGGACTGATGGACAGACGTCCCGTTCGCTGCTATCCCGGGGGAGACGTGCCGCGGCGGCGGAGTCGGTTGGCTCGCGAATCGGGTCCGGTGGTGTGTGCATCTCGACGGCCGACGCAATAAATTTACGGATACGAATCGACGGAGAAGACTCGGACTCTTCCTCGTCCGCCGCGTATGAGCTCGGGCCCCCGCGCATCCACTATGATTTATTTTGACGGCTCTTTGACTAAAATTCTTTATTTTTCCAACAATTAATGCAAGTTACCGGTACCGGGGTTTTTGCGGTCGCTGATCATGAATCAAATTTCAACAATTCTAAAGATAAGAGAAACATATACTGACATTTTTTTACATAATTGCGTACAAAAATTTTTTCTTGAATAGAAAACGCTACAGACGTTTACTTTAAGCGCGCACTATTTACTCAATATATATTTTTCAATAGATTATAATCAAAAATATAATTTTAAATTTAAAACACTAAAATTTATTACTTTTGACATCTACTGTATATGCAAGGTGTTCCGGTAAAAGCTGGGCATTTCGTCGACATGTTGAGTAAGTGAAAATAATCCCAAGTACCGATAAATTTTTTTTTATAACACTTCTTTACTGAAATATTTGTTAAAATTAAAATTTCTGAATCGTTCATCTTGTCTTTTATCTTAAACTTTTATATCACTCTTCAGACCTTACTACGTTGTAATTTATTTTTATATTTAGTAAAGATTTTGAAAACAATGTGATTTCTTGATACCATGTTGAAAAATAGAACCCATGTCGAGAAACAAATTATTTTTTACCCTTCTAATCTACAAAACTTTTAAGTCGGTACGTTTTCTTTAATTTTACTTTTTTTAGATACTCCAGATCTTTTTAGAAAGAAGTGTACTCTTTTTCCATTTTATAAAAGCTAACAGCTCATAATTTAGATATAGTCGAAAATATATAAGAATTTCAATATAATTATTAAATTATATGGTATATAATATACAAAATTATTTGTGGCATAAAATTGTAGAGAAAGGTTCTATCTATCATATCAGTACAGTTTAATCATGGTAATTAGTTGTTTAAACAGTCAAATGCCAAAATTGTGAAAACTATGCCAACGTGCCCCGGTCTCCTATCGGAAATGATGCCAGTTCAAATTATCACGAACCGTGTCAAATAGCGTCTCTAAATTTCAAACTCATAAATTGATTAATTTTCCGTCATGATCAAAATATAATTTTTGTAATCATTATGATGTCATTTTGACTTCATCGTGACTCCATGTTACGCCTGAACAGATTTACTATCATTAATCTCGCTATATAATTTCGCCGAAACCGACGCAACGTGCAGTTGAACGACCATGCGTGCCTGCTTGAATAGGCAACCCGTCGTACTGACGTGTATGTTGCTGTAACACCCTGTACATACGTTTACGCGTAAAGCATTTTGTCCGTCAGGCCTTCGGCCTGTCGACAAACAAGTATTATAAAGTACGGTGAAATAAATGTCAAACAGTGTTAAAGTTTAACGGAGCCTTCTTTGTGTACTTATCGACCAGCATCTCCCCAAAAGAATCCTTCACGTTCTCGTCAGAGAACTCCTCTCGTAAGAGATAACCTTAGAACATATATGTAGACAGTCTATATGTTCTAAGAAGATAACAAACAAATCCTACGCCGTGCACGGAGCGCGGCGGCGCGATAACATATGCATATAAAAAAATTTTTAAGTAAAAACTTACTTATTAATAATTATATGTATGTACTTGTGTACAATTGTATAAAATTATATACAGGGTGTTTCTTAATAAGTGCGAGAAATTTTAGGAGATGATTTTTTGTAGAAATTTAAGGGGAATTTTTCATATAAACATATACAACTACATTCCTCTTTGTGGAGTTATACGCCTCCAAAAATGGGGATAAAAAGGTTATTTATTATTATAATATTTTTCATCCTTCCGTACTGTTATAAGGAAATGAAACTAGCAGCTCCTAAGTATTCAAATTTTTACTAGAACTTTTCAATGGTCCAGTATGATCATGTAAAAATATACATTAAAAAGTTCGATTAATTTAGAAACCCCTTTTTTATTTCTTTTATTTTCTTCATAAAATCAGTAGTTTTCAAGAAAAACAATAAAATACGTTATCGTGCACAGCACAATGCAATGCTAAATAACATAAGTTTCGAATGTGGGAGGCTGAAAAATATTAATAAATAACCTTTTCTTCTAGTAGAAAATATCTATCAAAAATTTCTTTAACCTGTTCCAAAGTTGATAAAAAATAGAAACCTAATTTTTGTCTCCTTTTTTGGAGGAGCTTTTAACTCCACAGGGAAGAATGTAGGAGTAAATATTTATATGAGAGACCCCCCATAATTTTCGATAAATAATTATGTTTAAAAATTTTTCGCACTTATTAAGATACACCCTGTATAATTATAAATGAGCAATTTTTTCCCTTTTAAAAAATTTTCATATGTATAAAAGCATGTATAAATATAATATACATATAAAAATATGCAATATAAAAATATGTATGGATATATTTGATGTATAATTTTATATGTATAATACTATAATAATGTAAATTTTTATATGTATAATAATTATATTGGGTAAACCCATGGACCTAAGAATC